TATTGGTCCTGAGGGGTTTATTTGTTCTGGATTCCCTGTGTCGTGAGTATAGCTCTGTTCTTACAAGAAGTCCTGGTGGCATAACTGGCTGCCAACCGCAAGGTCAACAGATGGAAGTCACTAGGTGCTCCATGGGAGAAAGGTGAGGCTTTTTACTTGCATGAAGATTTCTAGTCTGGGAAACCCACAGGGGAAGTTCTATTCTGTTCTATAGAATTACTATGAGTCAGCATCAATACATTTTTAATAGAGCCTGTGTTTAACACCTGGTTTGAAAAAATTAGTGACAATTTCATCATTTGCTTTTGCCAAATCTGTTCCAACCAGCCTACTACCAGATTGTCAAAGGTGTTCTGGTTTGGGGTTGGGAAGCTGAGAACCAGAATATTAGAAAAATACAAATTATTTGAAAGGACATTATTTTCCTTCCCTCTAGGATAAATGTCTATTATTCGTGAACTATAATTTAATAAGATTTCCCTTTATCTTTGCAGTATGTTGACAAATTAGAAATAATAGATCTTACTTGCCTTACTGACGAGAATTCAATTGAACACAACTGTGCAAGATTCACTCTTGTCTTGCCCAAAGAGGAAGTGCAACTGAAGGTGAGTAAGAAGAAGCAAATCGTCTGTAGTAGATTGTGGCTATAAATAGCATTCATCTCTTTCTGAGTGGGTGATATCAAGATTTTGTAGGAAGAACATTGGCTCTTGTACTTTGTTAATATTTCTTACCATTTGCCAAGAACTAGTTTTCTGAATGGGGATTTCAAATGACTTGTTCTGTTGTTTAGTATATAAACATGTTGAAACCATATACTTCTGTCCTCTGGCAAAGTCAGGGATCTCACCTGGTGTTTTTCAAAGCTAGTTCTTCTTGAATCCTGAAAGTGAGCCAATTAAAGTTAATCAACAATTATAGTACCAATAGAAAGAGAACTTGAAATTAAATACAATGCAGTCAGAGACTTTCCCAGGAGACTATCAATTGATCTGGAAAACACTGGTCTTAAACTTTGGTAAAATAGGAATCATATGTGTATAGGTAATTCAGGTCCCCTCCTGAAATCTATGTCCAGGAATCTGCAGTTTTGAGCAGGTTCCCTTGATGATTCTGCTGTTATGGTTAGGGGCACCGATTAGAGTCAGAGTGCCTATATTAGGATCCTGGCTGGTTTCATTTTTAATTGTGTAATCTTTGGCACGATGCTTGTGATTTTGTGCTTTCACTTTCTCACCCAAAACCAAGTTTTGCCCAAGTGTTACCCTCTCACTAAGCCCTATCTGGGCTACTACATTAAAATTGAAACTCTCCCTTCTTATTCCCACTGGCATTCCAAATCTCTTTTACCTGCTCTATGCTCTCATTTTTCCATAGTTGTTTCCATAGTGTTAGAATCTAACACTATGTCATTTACTCATTTATGACATGTGTTGTCCGTATGGGACTAAACTCCATGAGAACAGTGTTTTACTCTGTTTCCTAATGTAAACCATTACCTAAGATAGTCTCTGTCACATAAAATTTTGTGGAATGAACAAAATCTATAAAAAGAAAAAACTGCATATCTTTATCATTGAGGCACCCTGAAAAGTAAATCAATTTATACTCATGAAATGCTTAGAGAACACGTATAAGTACTCAGTAGATGTTGACTGTTATTGCTATTAAAAATAATAGTAATAGTAACTGCTAAGAATTGAAAGTATTGATGGATGAATTGCAATACTACTTCCTGGTTGTCACAAAATTAAAGTAAATAAAGATTAAGTATCAATAGTAGAGTTGCAATGAATTGACATACAGCAAAGATAATTTTACTAATATTTACTTTTTTTAGTTAGGTATACTTACACATAGTTTTCTTCTGCAAGCAAACAGATAAACATTATATATTGCTGTATGCTTAAATAATTTTGTCATTGAAAGCACATGCAGCATATACATCAATTCAACAACTTATCCATGTGTTTTCTGGGAACCATAGGGGAAGTTAAAGTTTTGATTATTATGTTTGGTTGTAGTCTTTGGTTCTTCCGGTGTGAAATGGCCAAAAAGAATGTTGTTACTGTATACTTTGAGCTCAGCGGTAGAATTCGCCATTTGAATTTCTCAGAAACCATGCTGCTTAGGTAAAATGTCTGACAGAAAGCCTGGATCTGTTTTGATACTCTCATAGACCCAATCCCATAGTTTTGTATCAATAGAATAGTTTAAATAGGGATTGAACTTGACTGTTTTAAGAATTGGGTTTTGTATCTGGTTCTACTTTGTTTATACTGGTTTCTTCTGCTTATTATTGATATGGTAATTGATAGAAATGTTCATTTGGAAGTATAAAAATAGGGAACTTGTAAGCCCACTTGCCTCAAGACATTAATTTGATCTTTAGATGGTTTTAGGACACACCTGGAAAGAAGGCTCTGAAAGGATTAACCCCATCCCCAGTACCATAATGTGTTAGTCCAGGTAGATTAGAGAAGCAGATTCATACAAACTCATGTGAAGAAGAAAGAGGTTTATATATAAGAGTAGTTAAATATTGAGGAAACATCCTAGCCCAGTCCAGATCAAGTCCATGAGTCTCATATTAGCCCATATGTCTGACACCAATCTATAAAGTCCTCTTCAGACTCAGGAAACACATGTAATGATGCCAAATTTGGGATGATCACAGGCCAGTGGATCGAAAGTCTTTGGATCCAGTGGCGATGTAAGCATCTCAGCACTGGCAGGGACCTCTACGGGCTCTCTGGCTTCAGAGGTCTGGTTGCATCAGTGTAGGTCCATGTGGTTTCTCCAGCTCAGGACACTAGCATAGTTCCATGTGTCTTGTCAGCTGCAATGTCTCTCAGGGAGTGAGCAGAGATTCTCTCCAGCCTCCAAGTAGGAAAAACCGGATTTCCAAGAATTCTCAGGAGAAAGCCATGTCTACACAGAGGCCTCATTGGCTATGATCCGATTGACAGACTAGACTCCACCCCTTCACTCTTGATTCTCTCAAGTCCCAAATAGACACCAGATTATGTAACTACCACACTATATGTTTAAATAACTTTGTCATTAAAAACACATAAAGCATATACACGAGTTCAACTTCTACGTACAATTCAGTTACAGTGATTGAATTTTTTATATGTACACTATTTCCACCCTGTTTTTTAGTTGCTTCTCCAGCATTAACATAAACCTACTTCCCACTAGATATTTATCTAATCTTTCAAGTAGTGTAGGCCATTTGATCATATATAGATCTTAAAAGAGCACAATGCTCAAGGGATATATTTTTAATACTTAAGCTAAACTGTTGTTTGATTTAAAAAGTACTTCAGGATATTTTATGTTTCATGTTTAAATATTATTCCAGGGGATTATCCAACTGAAATGGATCCAGAAAAACTTAAATTTCATAACAATTTGAAATTCTGTCTGCCTACCATTTTTTATCAGGAGTCTTCTGTAGAATCTTTGATCAAATGGTAGCCGGTCTCCTCCAGTTTTTCTGGTCTCACTCATAGAATATTTCTTTTGACAAAAGAAAATAGCATTGAAATATTTCATAATAATATACATTAATTGTTCTAAGAAAAAGGAAAATAATTTTCTTATTCCATTCATCTGATTTTTAAAATTACAATGGAGTATTTATTTATTTATTTATTTATTTATTTTACAATGGACTTTTTAAAGCAATATGCTTCAATAAAAGAATAGGACTTTTGTCAATCTTTGTGAATTTTGATGGATTACATATGTTGCATCATAAAGTTAAATGCAAACTAAAAGTTATTTTAGCTTAATAGAAGTATTACTGTTCATCATTGCCTGTGAGTTTTGATTTTGTCTTTGTCATTCATTTTTAGACAGAGAATACAGAAAGTGGGGAAGAATGGAGAGGCTTCATTCTTACAGTAACGGAGGTAAAAAGGTTATTACTTGTGCTTAATTCATTCAACAAATATTTGCTGAACACCTGCTATAAGTAACTATAATGAGAGAAGGAAGATACAGCTAATACAGGTCATAAAACCCAATTCACTCACTCATTTAATCTGTGTCCTTGAGGATGAGGTCAAGGGGAAGAGAGGTCAAGATCTTGGTCCTATCCTTTGGGAACAGTGTTTCTTTAAAAATTTCAATATTTGTAGTTTATGTAGCATCTTCTAAAATCCTACCAATTACCTTTCTATTTATTTCCTTCCAATTTATTCCTATTCACTTTATATACTTAACAGATACTAACGGATTCTGTAAATTCCATAGGCCATATAACAAGAGAGATCATCAATGAAAGTCATCTTTAAATATTGGTTTAGTGAGTCTTAAGAATACCTATTCGACCCTGTGGCATCAAGGCAGAGAAAAATAGTAAGATTTTTACTTATACTTAACCATTGGAGTACGATACAATTTTAAATAAAGCCACCATAGGTGTTGTCTTAGAAATATGAAGTGCTTAGAATACCAGCCCCCAAAAGACCACTCGTTATAACATGGAGTCGATTCTGACTCACAGTGACCTGTGGGAAAGCACAAGAATACCCTTGTGAGTGTTTGGTTTAATGTAAGTGTTCATGGGCGTAGAAAGTCACAGCTTTCTCCCTTGGGCAACTGATGGATTCTTACTGCTGACCTTGTGGCTAGCAGCCCGACCCAACCCCTATCTCAGCAGGACTCCACCAAAAGAGCACAGTGGTCTCTAATCATTTTAGAGGCTATGATAATCTTCCATTTTCATTCTCCTCCGCCCCCAAAACAAACAAACAAACAAACAACCAAACCAAACTCAGTGTCTTTGAATTTTTCCCGGCTGTAAGTCTTTTCAGGAGCAGCCAGTCTCCTCTTGCTCCATGGAGCAGCTGGTGGGTTGACAGAAGTTCAACACTTACCTAACACTGCCACCAGGGCCAGAACCCAGACTCTATCCCAATGTGATTTTCAAGTAAATGTTTTCCAATGACATGAAAATGTCCTATCCTTCCCAAAATGGATGCAGGTATAGCTGCTGGTTCTTGGTCTTAGGAAACAATAGTTAAAAGGTGGAGAGAGGGAAGTCTTGCTGGCGTTGTGTCTCCTTGAGTTGAATCCAATTCCATAAGCAGAGTAGAGCTGCTCCCATAGGATGCCCTAGCTTTTGGTTTGAATCACTGACTTCCGGTAGTAATGGAGTGCTGAGTGCTGCCCCAGCAGGGCTCCCAGGGAAGTCATAGGCAGCTGGAAAGGGAGAAGGCAGGCAATGAAATATGTGAAGAGTATGTGAGCTCGGATGGCGACAGGGAGAAGTTATTTAAAGAAATGTGTTCTATCACTGTTTCTCTATTGGTTGTGGCGAGCAGTCACGGTGATTGTCAAACTAGGGTACAAGACTAGGTGTCCTAGATTCCTGACTGGAAAGAAAATAAATACTAGAGATTTATCTATCCCATCAGCAGTTGGATTGGGGCACACACAACTTACGCTGTACATTTCAGAGACAGG